TTGTTGTTATTTGCCGTCGAGTCGGCCCCGACTCATAGCGACCCCTCCTTGGGTTTCCGAGGCAGTATCACTACGGAAGTAGGATTGCCCAACCTTCCTTATATATGTATATATATATACAGACACATAGATATTTATATAACATTTTTTAAATAAAATAAAATAAAAAAAATTAAACTCAATTTGGCTATAAATTCCTGTTTAATCCATGATTTTTTTTGTTTTGTTTTAACCCATGATTTAAAAAATGTATTTTCACCCTATTCCTAATGTTTCCTCTTTTCCATCACATCTATACCCATTTCTGCCTTGCGTTTTCAGTCTTGACAAGAATAAAACAAGTACACACCTGTAGCATATTCTTCAAGAGTTCACAGAATTCATAGCACAGAGTCATACAAAAACCCAACTGAAGTGAGAGAGGGGAAGAGGCACTTTTCTGACATGCTCTGTCTAGTTAATCTTACTGAAGCTCTTCTTTCTTTTCTGATTCCCCACCCCCAGCTTCCCCCATGAATGGGTGCATGCATTGGGTGGTGTTCTGCTTTCCTTTTCTTCACAGGGCCTAAGTTGGAGCTTAGCAGTTGGGCTCACACCTAGGCATGGTTTCTGATTAGTGATAGCGCTCAGTTTTATTAGAGGAAGGCTCTTGTCCAGTATAGCTTTAATGGGAACCCTCATTTGGCTCAAAAGCCTTTGTGAAATCTCAGCAGCATCCCCTGCAACGTTGAAGGCTGTGATACAGCAACTTTCTAATGACTGAGACAGCATGTGAAATGTTCTCTCTGTACTGCTTGTTCCTGTGACTTTTTTTTCATCGACGTTGTGCAGCCCCCAGAGAAAACTTGTCCTTTGGATAGGGAGAGCAAGAGCTTTAGAGGCTGACTCAGCCTCTGAGTCTGTTACCATGAGAATTTGTGTGGGTGGCTGTGTAGAGGTCACTGAAGTATATCAAGGTCAAGTTTTCCAGGCTATTTTGGCTAGATGGAAGAAGAGCTCATGTGGGTTTCAAAATTGTGAGAAAGTGGTCAAAGGAAAGGATGCAAAGGTGGAGAGTTAACATTTGTTGAGTCACCCCTTGTGTGTTAGGCACCGGATTAGGCATTTATATAAATTGTCTTTTTAATCTTCATAGCAATACAGGCAGGTGGGTATCATTTTCCCTATTTTACATGTGGCAAAACTGCTCAGAGTCCTCCAGCTTGGTAGGTGGGGCTGGACTGGAAATCCTGCTGTTCTGCCTTAACATGTTGTCTGCAAGCGAGAACTGAACATGGACTTAACCATCCATCCTCAACGTCTGCTCCATTACATTAACATTTTTATGTACTGCACCCCTCTCATTGCCCCCGCCCTCCCTACCCTTTCATTGCACCTTCGGACACTCTTACTCCTGATATAGTTGTCCTTCAGCAAGTCCTCACTGAAATGTTGCCCTCAGCAAGGAGATAACAATTTATAAGCACTTTTGTCTATATGAGAGTAGACTAATAAACCTGGACAGGCTGTCTTGGATCCTGAGGTCTAGGTTTCATCCATGAAAGTCAGCTTGTCACTGGCAGCAGAAGCAGCTTCTCAGGATGACATCATCTGTTCCTTATGGGCTCTTCACTTTACTGTAAAAGAAAGTCACTGATAGTGATGTCATTACTGAAGGATAGTATGTTGGGAAATGATCCTTTATAGATGGACCTGTCTGAAAACTAGAATCTTACTTAACGTTAACATAAGCTTTTTCCTAAAAGCAGGACAAATGGTGCTCGCTCCTCACGTTTGATATATTTCTAGATAAGCTCTGAAGAAGAGAAGAAAGAGTTTGGATTTGCTATAGAGTTGCCCATGCTGTGCAGTGTCACGTTTACTCATTTCAGAAAGAAGCCCTAGGACTCAGGGAGGCTGTACTCTGGGTGGGTGCCTTCTCTGGAAGACACGGAATAAAATCAGTCCCACTTTGATGGAAAAAGGCACTAAATTGAGTCGGAATCAGTATGTGTGCCATGATATAAGGTTCTGTGGTTGTAGATAAGTCTTGGGGTCTTCCTTCCCCTTTCTTTCATATCCTCTGCTCCATATGATGTAAACTATTTCCTCACACCATTTTCAGAACTACTTCTGGTACTTAGTTTCTACACATTCTTAGAAACTTTATAAATGGGGTTCTTTTTTGCAGAAATTAATGTCATCAATGGGAGAAGGTATATTAGATTGTGACATTGTTATACATGTTGTTGTTGTTGTTGTTATGTGCCATCGAGTCGGCCCCGACTCATAGCGACCCCTCCTTGGGTTTCCGAGGCAGTATCACTACGGAAGTAGGATTGCCCAACCTTCCTTCCGAGGAGTGGCTGGTGGGTTTGAACCGCCAGCCTTCTGGTTAGCAGTCAAGTGCCTTAGCCACTATGCTACCAGAGCTCCCTTGTTATACATATGTATCTGTATATGTATGTGTATATATTTATATGCATATAAACACACACACACACACACATATATATATACATACATGGGCAGAGTTTAAAGAAAACATGAGAACAGCTTTACAAAGATAAACTCAAGAAGAGCAGTAACGCCTGATATGCTTCAGCAGACTCTCAGTCCCACAGGGACACAGCATATTTGCTTTAGTTAGAAGAATGACTTTTCCCATTATTTTTGGCAGATAATTATTCCTGATTAACTACTAGATTTATGAATCCTAAAGTCAGTTTAATGCTTTCTAATAAGTTTTTAACAGAGGTAAGAGCCATTTGCTTATTTATAAGGAGAGGAGAAACAAACAAACAAAAAAACCTTGCATCTGTTCCACACATGAGATTCCCCCCTGTGGTTATTGACTTTGAGGCAACCTGTGAGCTCAGGGGAGCAGAACACACCCCTTTGTATGTGCTAATGAGCTCTGTGTGCATGCTTAGTAAGTAGTGTGTATGTACGGCACTGTAATTTGGTAGACCCAGTCTCCATTTGTACTGTGGGTCACATCTGTGGTTTCTGTCCTGCTTCACAAGATTCATTCCCAGTTCACTAATATATACATACATGTTGTTGTGTGCTGTTGAGCAGCTGACAGGGACCCTATAGGACAGAGTGAAACTGCCCCACAGAGTTTCCTGGGCTGTAATCTTTATGAGATCAGATTGCCAGGTCTTTTCTCCCACAGAGTGGCTAATAGGTTCAAACCATAGATCTTTCAGTTAGCACTTGAGCACTTAACCATTGCACTACCAAAGATCTTTAATGTTTACATACATTAAAACTACATCTTTTGCATAAGTTTTACTAAATGAATACTCAAATATTTGGACGTAGATACTCAGTCCCAAAATAATACATATGATTGTAATCACCTCCATGGTGGAATCTGCTGTGAGCAGCTAAGTAGTTGCCTTCAGGGTGTGGCCTGCTTCCAGTGTATAAGAAGAAATTTGAGAAAGGTCTCTAGCTTTAGGATCCTGCATTTGGCCGAGTCACCAGTGCCTGCCAATCTTGGGATTGTTCCTGGACTTGAACTCATGCCCTGTCATGTTGCCTGCTAATCTTAGAACTGCACCATTTTACCTGCCGACCTTGGGTTCCTCAGCCTCAGCAGCCAACAGCTGTGTGAGTTAGGAGACTCCTTTAACTCTAGTGGACCTGGAATAAGAGGCAGAGCTGAAGCCCAAGGTCAAGGGGCCTTCACCCAGCCCCTAGAGCTGGCCCTTTGAACTCAGATTTCTAGCCTCCTAAACTGTGAGAGAATAAATCCCTATTTGTTAAAGCCATCCACTTGTGGTATTTATGTTATAGCAGCACTAGAGAACCAAGATAGTGGCTAAAAACTGGAACAGCTTCTGTAGTGGGAGATGTGGCGAGTCAGCCTGAGATCCAGATTGCTGATCAGCAGTAACCAGGCAGAAATGGGAGAAGGCCCAGGTGGGTGAGGGTGGTGTGTGGGGGGCTGCTGTTGAGGAGAGCAACCCTGAAGTTACTGAGTCTAGACTCCAGGCTTAACAGGAAGCCATGTGGAGGTAACAGATGCCTGGAAGTCATAAACAACAACAACAAAACTAGTGTATAGAAGGAATTAGGGGGTAGAAGAGAAACTAAGGAGGGAATGCTATTGGATCACTTCTTTTCTGAAGTTCCCCTCTCTTTATATTACATTTAATATCTCTCCCTTGGACCCCAGCCTCCTGCTGCTATGATTTGTAACTAGTCTCTCACAACTATTCTAGATTGTAATCCACAATGCAGAAATAAATTATGGAAGCTGATCTTAGACTGTATTGGCTAACATATATTCCAGGCATTGTGCTAAGCATTTTACATATGTTATCTTATGTATTGCTCCTGAAAACTGTGAGTTTAAATCATATGCTTTTTGTGTTCTCTTAAAGATGAGTCACAAAGTGGTTAACTTGTTAAAGGTCACGTGACTAGGAAATGGTAGACCCAAGTTTTGGCCCCAGACAGGCTGACTCCTGCCCCATGCTCTTACCCCTCTTCTAAATTACCTCCCTGCCAAGACTTGCTACAGTTGGCAAAGAGTGACTGATTGCTTTTTAAAAGTCACTCAATCAATGACTAGCATCTATATTAGCCTTTACAGTTTGCAAATCACTTTCACATATATTATTTTCTTTATTTTCGCAACATCCTGGTAAGGTTTGCAGCAACACGCATGATGAATGAGGAGACCCTCAACTCTGCAATCTCTATATCTTCGAGAAGTCTTTGAAGTTTGGTCATTACAGAGGTGTGGCCAGGCTCAAGTACTGTGATGTTTTTCCCCTGAATATGCTAGGCTTCATTTACTAAAGAAGTTCTTCCACAGACCTTCTGCTTCTTTCTAGGTCATAGAACGCTGTACGTGGGGGTTCGGATGCCGCTGGGCCGGCAGAGCCACCGGCACCACCGAACCCATGGCCAGAAGCACCGGAGACGAGGACGAGCCAAAGGAGCCGGCCAGGGGGAGGAAGGCCAGGAGGCCCTGGCCCATGGTAACATGCTCAGGAGAGAGGGCAGGTGTTTATGGTTGGGAGGCTCAGTGATCCTGAGGGATATCAAACAGGTGGTCTTGGTTCTCTAGTCCTTCTTTTAGGGTTTTCAAAGCTTGCTTCCAAGAAAAAAAAAAAACATCTCTAAGGATCAAAAGTATGTTTCTGAAAACTTCACAGTTCAGGCCCTCAAAAATGAATTCCACAGTAGGTGAAATCATTTACTGGAGGATTGATCATTCCTTTTGATCAAACTTGTCAGATTTTCAATTTGTTGTGGGTTTTCTGAAAATGGTCTCAGTTCGTGAATATTTCCTGCCATGAAACTACTTCCGCAGAATAGTTTCTTTCAGGGAATAAAGAAAAATCTTTGCTCTGTCTTTGGTGCATTCCTAAAGTTGTTAGGCCACCCAGATGTGCTAAGGAAGGGAGAATGCTTTTTCTGTTCTAAGTTTGAGGCTAGGAGCCCACCTTTCTCTGTGGTTGATTTTCTAGACACACCATCTCAGCGAGTTCAGTTCATTCTTGGTACTGAGGAAGATGAAGAGCATGTGCCTCATGAGCTGTTCACAGAGCTAGATGAGATCTGTCTGAAAGAGGGAGAAGATTCTGAGTGGAAGGAAACAGCCAGGTAATGCCCTAAAATAAAATAACCTGGATCAAGATCTACTTGAGTAGGCAAGTGTACCTTTCAGCAAGTTACAGGTCTACCTGCTTACCTTTTATTTCTTTGTGGGTGATGACTGACATGAGGTCAGATGTTGCAGTTTCCTATAGGCCGTCTTGGTGTTGGCATCTTCATGATGTCTCTGGTCATACCTATGGCAGTTGGCCTCAAGTCTGGTATTGATGACCTAAACATGAAACATTCGGGGGTTCTCTTTCATTTTTTGGGGGCCCAGATTAGTTCATGGGTTATTTTGGTGTTGTAGGTCTGGCTCAGAAGATACCTAACGAGATTACCTCAGGTTCAATTTAGCCTAGCAGACATACCATACATAGCTCTAGACCTTTCCTACAGGTGAACCATAGAGTCATTTGGGTGTTTAATCTACTAGAAGTCCCAGAATTTTTGAGAATTTAATTTCTTCAGGGATAATTCAACCTCAGAGAGAGCCTTGGGATTATAGCTAGCCTGGTACTAGGCTTGCTGGGATAGTTGTAGAGTGACCATGCTTATCTTAGGCTCATATCCTTGAGGAGCCCTCAGGTTACCCAGGGCCATATCTAGGGCTTTTCTAGTAACTGACCAGTGAGTCTTATGGATGCTACAAAGTCAGCATCTGATCCTCAGGGAAGGAAGCAAAGTAGGTAACTGGCCAAACATGGATTTAGCTCTCATTGGAACAGCTTTTGCATGATGCCCACTGTATCCATGGATGCTAAGGGTAGAGAAATTAAATAGGCAAACTGGTCTGATACCAAGTGAAAGGACAATCAGGCTTGTGAACTGTCTTTGTGAACTTCTAAAGGTCACACCGAGCACTGGGATTACCCTTTACTTTCTTTTTTTAATGGTTAGCTTTTTAAAAAAGCAAAATATTTTATTTATATGATTTATCAATGTATACAAGAGATATAGTTTAGATCTGTTTTTTAATTGCAAAAGTAATGCATGTTCATTATAGAAGATTAGAAAATAAAAGACAAGTAAAAAGAAAAATTGCCTGCAACCTCACTATCCAGGGATAATGAGGAATACAGAATTTTGGAATCTTATACTTGTATATATTTTTAATTTTTCTTTAAACAAAACTGAAATAAAATTGTACTCAATCTTGCTGTTTTATATTTTGCTTTTGTTTTTATTTCCCAAAGTACCCTGAACATGCAGATTAAATTTTACAGTGTTCAATAAGATTATTCAGATATCTCTCTTTGTGGCTTCCATTAACAATTCTTTCTTGAAAATTCCTCCCTTTCTATCTGTAACCCACTGTCATCAAGTTGTTTCTGACTCATAGAGACCCCTCCTTGGGTTTCTGAGGCAGTATCTTGCAGGAAGTAGATTGCCCAATCTTCCTTCTGAGGAGTGGCTGGTGGGTTGAATAGCCAGCCTTCTGGTTAGCAGTCAGATGCCTTAGGCACTGTATATCTAGTTATTTGTAATGCTTTCAGGTGGCTGAAGTTTGAAGAAGATGTGGAGGATGGGGGAGAACGCTGGAGCAAGCCTTATGTAGCCACCCTTTCATTGCACAGTCTCTTTGAGCTAAGAAGCTGCCTTATTAATGGAACAATCCTTCTGGATATGCGTGCAAACAGCATAGAAGAAATTTCAGGTAAGATTAAACCAAAACCAAACTCACTGCCGTCAAGTTGATTCCAACTCATGGCAACCCCTCCTTGGGTTTCCGAGGCGGTATCACTATGGAAGTAGATTGCCCAATCTTCCTTTCCAGGAGTGGCTGGTAGGTTTCAACCACCACCCTTCTGGTTAGCAGTCAAATGCCTTAGGCACTATGCTACCAGAGCTCATTTAAGTAAAATTAAACTCCCAAAAACCAAACTCACTGCTGTAGAGTCAGATCCGACTCATAGCGACCCCTCCTTGGGTTTCCGAGGCAGTATCACTACAAAAGTAGATTGCCTAATCTTCTTTCTGAGGATTGGCTGGTGGGTTTGAACTGCCAGGCTTCTGGTTAGTAGTCAAATGCCTTAGGCACTATGCTACTAAAGCTCCCAGAGATATGGTATAGTGGAATGAATAAAATGTCTCTGTATCCTTAGGCAAGTCACTTAACTTCCCATCCTCATCATCCTCAGCTGTGGGATGAATTGAGTTTCAATTCATCAGTGTCTCATGCTGCAGAGAGGTCAGGTTAGGTAAGGACTGGAAATAGCCATGGAATTTAGCAACTGGAAGGTTATTGATGATTTTTATTAAGAGCAGTTTCACTGGGGTAGCCAAATTGGAAGGGGCTGAGAAATTTTTGTTCTGGGAACTTTAAGTGAAAGGAGAGAGAGAAAAGGAGTCAATAAAGGGGTGAAGATTCTTTTCCCTCCCCAAGATGAAGGATCATGAAGTATAAGTCAATATGAAAGTTACAATTACAGAAGTATGGATCCTTATTCATTGCTTCTAGTTGTGGACAGTCATGGATGGAGTTGGAAGCTGAGAATATATTGGGGTTTGGGGAAAGCCTGGCAGCAGATAAGTAAGATTGAAGTAAGCTGCTAAGTTTTTCACATCTGGTGTTGAATGTATTCATAATAGTAGTGATAAGGTTGGGAGCTCTGGTAGCATAGTGGCTAAGACACTTGCCTGCTAACCAGACGGCTGGCGGTTCAAACCCACCAGCCTCTCCTCGGAAGGAAGGTTGGGCAATCCTACTTCCGTAGTGATACTGCCTCGGAAACCCAAGGAGGGGTCGCTATGAGTCGGGGCCGACTCGACGGCACATAACACACACAAACACAGTGATAAGGTTAGGTAAACTGTCAAGTGTTTATTTTAAATCAGAATTATATATATATCTTATTTAATTTTCCAGAACAACCCCCTGATGTAGGTGGTATTATTAGCTTCATATTATAGATGAGGAAACTGAGGTACAGAGAGGTTATGTAACTTGCCCAACATCACACAGAAAGTGGTGGAACTGGGATAGAATGTGGCTGTTTAGTTCTAGAGCCCATGCTCTTCATCAGTGTGCCAACTGCCTCTTGATACCAGGTGTTGGGAATTCCCCTGCCCTTCCTCCCCCTAGTTCTGCTGGGCTAGACAGGTTAAAGATTGATGCTTGGTGATAATTGTTGGCAGTGAGTGGTCAGTTGACTTAATTATTCTTATAGGTTCTACCTTCATATAGGCATTTTGAGTTCTACAGTTACATACAGTTCCTCTTAACAATCACTGCAATATTAAAATGTTGAAGGAAGATAATGCAGAAGGCAGAACAAAGTGGATAATAATGTTTTGAGTCCAACAGTCCTGGCTTTGAATTCCAGCTCTGCAGCTTACTAGCTGTGAGATGTTGGATATTTCGTAACTATTTGAATCTCAATTTCCCTCTCTGTGAAAATTATTATGATAATATGTATTTCTCATGATTTTTATGGGGATTAGATAATATATGTAAAGTTCGCAGTATAGGTCCTGGCACATATAAAATGCTCAATATTAAAAGCTAATAATAATGATTTATTACATGATAAAGTATAACTTTTCACAGGTGTTACATCACATAGGTCTGTCAGACACTGAAGTTGAAATTGCACCTCAATAACCCTGGTGGAAATGCTTCTCCCACCCCAAGTCCCTCACACCCACCCTTCCCGATGCTGGCCTCCCTGGGTTCATTGACCCTCAGTCTGGGTGTTCATATCAGTGCCTACTTTCCAGACCTTATTCTGGACCAGCAAGAACTGTCCAGTGATATGAATGAGACCATGAGGATTAAAGTGCGGGAAGCCCTTCTCAAAAAGCATCATCATCAGAATGAAAAGAAGAGAAACAACCTCATTCCCATTGTTCGTTCCTTTGCTGAAGTTGGCAAGAAGCAGTCTGATCCACATTCAATGGATAAAAATGGTAAGGCTTTTAAGAGTGATTGTGTTCTGTCTTTATGAATAAGACATTTGAGAACTAGTTGGAGATGCTAAGTTACTAGGTGCCAGAAGTTGTATTTGTCTAATATGCTTCAATACCAATTTGGATACTTAGCACTTTTTGGTGATTGGTAAGATGTGTGGCTGGGATGGTACCTGTCTCTCTCTTGTGGCATCAAGGATGCACGCCTCAAATAGACCTCAGTGAACTTGAGATGAAGGATTTGTGCCCCAGGGTAGCTTCAAAACTAATATGGCTTTTGGGAGATTCCATACTGGACACAATTTGGGGCCACAAAAGGTCAACTCTAGCTTTTTAGGACCAAATGTGGTTCTTTCTAGGATGTTAGAAAGAGGCAAAATATAGTAGTGAAGCTCTTAAATCTGACTTCTAAGTTTGAGATCCTGGCTTTGCCACTTACAAAGTGTGTGACCTTGGGCAACCTATTAAACCTCTTTAAGTCCTACTTTCTCATCTATAAAATGGGGATAATAATAGGACCTTCCCCGTTATTGTGAGGCTTCAATGAGTTATTCCGTGTAAAGTCCTTAGTGCAGTGCATTGTGGCTATAAACACTCAATGAATTTCAGCTGCTGACTAGTTACCTTTCTGTGGCCAGGCAGGGTCTAATCTATATTGATCTCCTGGTCCCCACAATTACTGAAGCACAATGTACAGGAGATATGCCTGGGAATTTATACTCCTGAAGAGTCCTCCATAGGGGTTTTGATTAAGGATAACTGCCTTAATAAGAGACAGAAAAGAGGGTTATGAATGGTTCAGGAAGAAGGTACAGAACTAATGAGACCTCTGTCTTCTCTTGAGCCTTAACAAGTAGGCGAGTAGATAGGTATGTGTGGGTCTTGGCTTCAAAGTCATCTCAACTTCTTTCCCCTTCAGGTTTTCAAGAGATAGTCTTAGCCAACTGGTGGTGGGTGGGGTGAGCCAGAAGGCAAAAATGGCAGGGGCTCAGAGAATTCGATTTTATTTTCTCCAAATAGGTCAAATGGTGTCTCCACAGTCTGTTCCAACTACTAATCTTGAAGTGAAAAATGGAGTGAATTGTGAACACAGTCCTGTGGATTTAAGCAAGGTGAGCAGAGACATAGGAATTGGCGTATAGCTTATGGTCTAGTTGCTAGAAGCTAAGTAAGCTTTGGTATTTCAAAATCCTTTCTCCAAAACCAAGGGACCCTGGTGGTGCAGTGGTTGAAGTGCTTGGCTGCTAACATAAAGGTCGGCAGCCTGAACCCACCTAGGAGCTCTGGTGCTGTAGTGCTTAAGGCATTTCACTGCTAACCAGAAGGCTGGCAGTTCAAACCCAGCAGTCACTCCTCAGAAGGAAGGTTGGACAATCTACTTCTGTAGTGATACTGCCTTGGAAACCCAAGGAGGGATCACTATGAGTCAGATCTGACTGGACGGTAGTGAGTTTGGTTTGGTTTTTGCTGCTCTGTAGGCAAAAGATGTGGCAGTCTACCTTGGAAACCCTAAGAGGAAGTTTTATTGTCTATAGGGTTGCTATGAACCAGAACCAACTCAGTGGCAGTGGGTTTGGTTTGTTGTTTTTCCAAGACCAGAGTCCCTTCTTCAGAAAAAGAGGCCCATCTACTCATGTCTTCTCCCTTCTACACCAGCCTATCCCCTTCTCCTCATTAGATTGTTCCTCCAGATTCAACGTGATGAAACAGAATAACCACAGACAGTTTTCCTTAACACAGACCTTTTAATTTTTTAGTTATTTCTTGCTGTTCTGGTTACCTCATGCCACCCTGACAAGAATATATCACAAAAGGGATGGCCTTAACAAACAGGAGTTTATTCTCTTATGTTTAGGAGGCTTTTAGTCCAAGTTCAAAGTGCCACTCTTGAGGGGCTGGGTTCAACCTTGGGCTTCAGCTCTGCCTCTTGCTCCCAGCCCACTGAAGCTGGAGGTATCTCTTCACTCAGGCAGCTACTGGCTGCTGAGGCTAACAAGCCCAAGGTCAACAAAACGGCACAGTCCCAATGTTACCAAACCACATAGCAGGCTATTAATTCAAGTCCATTGAAAAGTCCCAAGGTCAGCAGAGCATGGCAGGCTGCTGAACAACGACACGGCTGCATGCAGGGTTCAAGTGTGCAATAAGCTAGAAACCGCTCCCCAAAACTTCTCCTTATATTCATGAAGCACACCTCATTCCTAAGGGAGCTACTTAGCTGCTCATAGTAGATTCCACCGTGGAGTTGATTACCAGTCTCATCATGGGGAATACTTCATCCAGCTGCCCAGCCACTCAACCAGGCCCACCCAAGTTGACACACAAACTTAACTACCACACTTGCTTTCTAGCTGCTGTTTCTAACCTTGAAGGGATTTGTCAAAACAATATTTTTGTTATTGTCTCCTAAAACTCCTCCCTCAAGGTTGAAAATCTTTTGTGGGACTTTGACTTTAGTATCCAAAGTCTGCAGAAATAGTGTCTCACTACAGTTACTGGTTCCAACCTTGGTCTCCCTGTCCCAGTTATCTTTGCTCTGATTTCTCCTTGATGCTGTCTTTCTAAAATGCAAATAGTGTTATGTCATGTCTAATAAAGCTTCCCATTTTATTTAGGAAAAAAACAGAAACCTCTGATAAAGCATTCAAATATTTGAAAATGAAGAGTTTGACCCAGAGCTTCAAATCTTCCTCTTTGAGGAAGCATGCTATAATGGAATTCAAATCAGAATACCTGAATTTAAATCCCAATTCTATCCCTGAAAAGCCCTGTGGTCTTGGGCAAGTCAATTTCACTTCTCTGGGTCTCAGTTGCTTCTTCTTCTTCTTTTTTTTTTAATGACTAGGACCTGCCTTGTCCACTTTACAGGGCTATTTTTTTTTAATGCATTTTATTGAAATATAATTTATGTGCAGTGAAATACACAAAACTAAAGTGACATGGGTCAATGCACTTTTTTTTTTTTTTGCAGTGTTCCCTCCCCTCCCCTCCTACCCCCGGCAACCAGCAAAGAATGTTTCCCTCCATATATAAACCTTTCCTTAACCCTCCACAACAGCGAACTAATACTATATTTGTCCTTCTGTGATGGACTTAATTTCGCTCAGCATAATGTCCTCCAAGTTCATCCATATTATGCAGTGTTTTGCAGACTCTACATTATTCTTCAGTGCTGCATAGCATTCCATTGTGTGTATGTATCATAGTTTGGTCATCCACTCTTCCGCTATAAATCTTAGAGATAAGTCCCTTTCCAGATATGTAATTATCATCAAATATGAATTTGTTGCTGTCATTTTTGTTATGTGCTTTTTCATGGTGTCAATTTCTTTGTTCCATATAATTTTCTATGCTGAGCTCGTTTTATTGATGAATCATGTTATCACTTCCTTCATTGCTATTGTTTTAGTATTTGCTGAATGTTTACACTGGTCCTCTTTTTTGAGTGAAGGTTTATCATTCTTCCTTGACATTACCCTGTGATTCATAGATTTCTTCCCAAGTTTACAACAGTCCACTCTATCTTGTAGTTGTCTTGATTTCCCTACCATCTACAAGTTCTATAATGACACACTTTTTTTTTTGGCCTCTTTTTGGTTTGTAGTTGTCCTCATTTGTCAATTGATATCTCTGGTTCCCTGTTTACAATCTTGTAGGCTTCTTTACTTTGGATACTTCCATATCTGGGTTGGTTTCTGGGTTATATCATCATGTGTGTTAATGGTCAGTTGTTGTTGGCTGTTGTTGCTTCTCTGTCCAAAGGGCTCCCTTTAGCATCTCTTGTAAGGTTGGTCTGATTTTAACAAATTCCCTTAATTTCTGCTTATCTGGAAATGTCCTAATTTCACCATCAAATTCGAGGGACAATTTTGCTGGGCACATAATTCTTGATTGGGAATTTTTCTCTTTCAGGGTTTTATATATACCATCCCATTGTCTTCTTGCCTGCATGGTTTCTGGTGAGAAATCCGAGCTTAGTCTTATTGGTTGCCCCTTATAGGTAACTTTTGTTTTTCTCATGTTGCTCTCCTGATTCTTTCTTTGTCTTTGGTTTTGGTAAGTTTGATGATGATACATGTCTGGGTGATTTTCTTTTGGGGGTCTGTCCTGTTTGGGGTTCATTGGACATCCTGAATGGATATATTCTTACCTTTTATCATACCAGGAAAATTATCTACTAACAAATCTTTGACAGTTTTCTCTGTGGCTTTATTTGTCTCCTCCTGTTCTGGAATTCCAGTTACACATAGGTTATTCCTTTTGATTGTATCCCACATGAACCTTAGGCTTTCTTCATTTTGTTTTGATCTTTTTTCTGATTGATCCCTTTCCAAAGAAGTGTTCAGATATTTGTCTTCAGTCTCATTAATTCTGTCTTCCATTGATTCAGTTCTGCTCCTTTGCCCATTCAATATCTTATCTACTTCTGAAAATTCAGTATTAATCTGGATTTCTATCTGTAGATTTTGTATCATTTCTAATTTTTCATTTATTTTGTCATTTTGTTCTTGTATAGTCTTTCGAAATTGTTCTAGAGTTTTCTCTATATTTTCCTTGATCTGTCTCTCAATTCATTGAAGGTACCTAAATATAATTCTTTTGAATTCCTTATCAGGGAGTTTCAATGCTGCATCTTCCTCAGGGATGTGTTTTGGGTCTGTATCCTGGTCCCTTGTTTCTCCTGCTTTATCTTGCTTCTTTGTGTGGACCATGATGCTTTGTTGTCTCTGAGGCATTTTGAAGTTTTTGTGTTTATATTTAATTGGTGATTGTATGTTGGAGTGACTTGCCCATGATTTTCATTTTCTTTGTTTTGTTTGTATGTTACCTATGCAAGCAGAGTACTGTGCTCTATTCACTAGTTTGACAGCACTCATACACTCATCACCTGTCTCCTTTCCTGTTGTCAGCCTCTCGTATGTTCCTGCCGACCTTGGCAAACAGCCTATTCTTAGGTCCCTGGAATCCCAATGAGAGTGCTATCACTTTAAAATCCAAAATGGTTGCCACTTGTAAGATTCAAAATGACTGTGCCTTTGGTCACTTTAGATATCTAAAATGGCCACTCCTTGTAAACAATCAAAATGGCTGCGCCTTCTGGACAGCAGAAAGTCAACAGCTCAGGTTTTCTCCCTCCTTGCTGTTTCCCTTCCTAGTCATAGGCCACCAGTGCAGTCGTCCCTGCAGCCCTTGGTGACCAGGCCTGTCTTTAGGTCAATTCTCAGGTCCCAACACCATTTGGAAATATTCAGACTTTTGGTCTCGTCAGAGTAGCTGACAGTCCGCAGCTCCTACAGTCTCTGTACTCACTGTTTTCGTTCAGGTTCTTCCACTAATTGGTGCCTAATCCACTTCTGTATACTTCCTTTCAAAGCTCAGGGCTCCAGGATTATCTTCTGTATCTCTGTCAATTGGTTTTTCTTTTCTTTGTTGAAGAGGGTCTGTGTCGCTTGTCTGCCTATTCCTCCATCTTATCGGAAGTCCTTACAGGGCTATTGTGTGAAGATCAAATGAGATAATATGAGAAAACATTTGATAAACTATAAAATGCCCGTATGAATATGTAGTTTGAGGAGGTGATCAATATTTGAGGTGATGGCTTCCCAATCAAAGAATTACTATTTTTGACTTTCAGGTGGACCTTCATTTCATGAAAAAAATTCCCACTGGGGCAGAGGCCTCAAATGTCTTGGTTGGAGAGGTGGATACTCTGGACCGCCCTATCATTGCCTTTGTGAGGCTCTCTCCGGCTGTTCTTCTCTCAGGCCTGACAGAAGTGCCGATCCCAACAAGGTAAAGACAAAGACAACCATGTAGTTAGTACATTCTAACTAAAGTCTGGATTTAGGTGAACTTTATTGGGAGAAATCAGTTTGATACCAAAATTTCAGATTAATTTTGAGAATGCTGTATAAATGCAGGAAACTGGGGTATGTTTGATTAACCACCATACAGAAGAATTCTAAGATTCTTAAGGCTATGGACTTCATAGTACCTCCAGCTTTGGAAGTAGATAACCAAGGAGTAATAGAAGGGCATAGCAAGGGCCAAATTTGTTCTGATGGCAAGCCTAAGTCTTATTCTTCCAGTTTTATGGAGTTGCATCCCAGGGAAACGTCTCTGCGCAAAGGTATTGATGCAAGTGATCCAGAGTCCTATTAATTAGAGAGTATTCAGATGTTCAGAACACAATTTAGACTCCTCTATGGGGCTTAATCATTTCAATTTCTTTAGCTTTCTCCTCTCCCCATCATTTTCTTGTTAGAGCAATGAATGGGATTCAGATAACCTTGAATTTGCGCTACAATAAAAATTCCGTGTTTTGAAAAAACTGTCCTTTCTATAGCAAAGAAATGTGTCTATGGAAACCCTCAGAAATGTAACCACATTATTGAATGGAGTTATACCAACAGTTCCTCAGGCCCACAGTGAAGCTAGTAGGTCAAGGGAACTCTTTATATTCCATCATTAGTATGCTTCCATTTATTGAAGGTATAGTGACGATTTCTGTTTGATAGGGGAGAGAAATGTTCTGCTGTTTAGGGAAGAGTAAGATGTCATTTCTCTATATTAACTTACTTAATTTTTTCCTCTGTGTGTGTTGCCAGGTTTTTGTTTGTTTTGTTGGGTCCAGTAGGTAAAGGTCAGCAGTATCATGAAATTGGCAGATCTATGGCCACAATCATGACAGATGAGGTATGTCTCACTTCTGCTTTTCAATCATTCATCCTGTAAATAATTATTGAGTGTTTACTCTGTGTCAGACACTGTGCTAGGTGTTGGGAATAAAACAATTACAGTTGCAGTGGCTACTGGGAAGCAGGTCAGGGCATGTCCTGACAGCCTATTGTAGAGGGAGGTGACCAAGCCCTCTGGGGGATTTTTCTTCCTATGTCATTTCTCCCTTTTTGAGTAATCAAGGAGGCAGATAAATCTTTTTCTGGGAAAATGATTATTGCCAAGGAGGATATTTAGAATACATTAAGGCTGATTTAATTTTCTAGAGAGGATGGTTAATTAAATGCATCCAAGCTACTTACATGAGGAAACCTCATTGCTATTACACATGAGACCAGTTGTGTAGGAACCAGGTTATGACCCCTGAGCACTATAATGTGAATACCCTGACATATCCATACCAAGGCATCTAGACATTTTGGCTGCCCATGGTGCTGAACCTGTAATGCATATCTTGGTGAGAACTGCCCTGCTCATGTGAGCACAAAGCAGGGTTTTCAATGCATATGTCTCAGGAAGCAGAGGGAGATGAGGGCTGGGTTTTCTAAGCTCTTTTTGATTGGGAGGCTTCTTACGTAGAGGACTGTCATTAGTAATCCCATCCAGTATTTCCAACCATTACAATCAGGAAAATTTTCTGTGATCGTGCCTTTGGTTCCATTCTTTGAGGAGACAATAAAATAGCATAACTTTGGAGTCACATCTTACCTTCATTTATACTAACAGACGTATATTTAGTTCAATTTGACCTATCTCATCTCAGTTTCTTTTTTTAAAAAATTCCTTTTATCCATTTATACTTGTACTTGTCTAAGTGCTTGGTTTTCTGCATCTAAATCACTGTGACAGAGATAAAAATCAAGATATTGTATCCATCCTTCACCATTTCAGTTGATGGTTATTTTAAGTGAAGTTACTTTCAAGTTTCCTGAGGATTTTTTTCTTCTCTATAGATTTTTCATGATGTGGCATATAAGGCAAAAGAGAGAGATGACCTCCTGGCAGGAATTGATGAGTTCCTGGATCAGGTGACAGTGCTCCCTCCAGGGGAGTGGGATCCCTCTATTAGAATTGAGCCACCCAAAAATGTCCCTTCCCAGGTAATGTATATGCATCAGCCACTGGTCATTAACATCACTTATGAGTGGACAGCACAAAAACTTTGTGATGTATTCAAAATAAATGGAGACATGGCCCTCTATTTGGGCACCTAGAATGTAGGAACAATAATAAAAAGTGAATATGCTGTAATGTAGATTGTTTCAGGTGTGATGGGGGTAGTCAGGATTACATTAGTGTGAATTTAAAGCCAAATTTTGAAGCACTCATGGAATGGTAGACATTTTAGGAGGAGTACATCCTGTACAAAGCCATCAAATGAAAAGAACAAGTGGTATAGGGAGAGCAGAGGTCCTCGATAACTTTTTTTGACATTTTAAAATTGGTAAGGAAACTCCTACTCTGCAGTAGACACTAGACCAAGTACTTTACGTATGCTAATTTAATCTTCACAGCAACATCCCAAAAAAGTAACGTTGTTGTTGTTGTTGTTATGTGCCGTCGAGTCGGACCCGACTCATAGCGACCCCTCCTTGGGTTTCTGAGGCGGTATCACTACGGAAGTAGATTCCCCAACCTTCCTTCTAAGGAGTGGCTGGTGGGTTTGAACCTCCAGCCTTCTGGTTAGCAGTCAAGTGCCTTAGGTACTATGCTACCAGAGCTCTAATTAAGTAATAGTGTGCCTGTTTTTACAAATGAGGAATAAAATTTGAGGGGCAAAAAAACAACAACCAAAAAACCCTGTTTTCTAGGGCAAAGTTTTAAGGTAGAAAACCAAAACCAAACTCGCTGCCAATGAGTCGGTCTCAATTCATAGTGACCCCTCCTCAGGTTTCCAATGTATTCTACTGAAGTACATTGCTCAGTCTTCCTTCCAAGGAGTGGCTGGTGGGTTTGAACTGCCAGTCTTCTGGTAGCAGTCAAATAAATGCTTTAGGCACTAAAGTGAGATAAAAAAAAAACAAAAAACAAACAAAAACACACAGCTCATTGCCATCTCCAACTCATAGTGATCCTCTTTGGGTTTCCAAGGCTGTAAGGTAAGATTATATAGAGGCAAATTTGAAACTTGAACTTTAGGTCATATCTGATGTCAAAGCCCCCATTTATCCTATTTCTTGGGTAAGGCAGAGTGAGCAGTCAGATACTAATAGGAAAGTCAATAAACTTCTCCAAATCAGAAAATGTATTTACATGTTACAGAGAGACACTTGAACATTTTGGTCTGGTTTTGGCTTATGCCATTATCATGCCCCCCTGTCAGCAGGTAGGACAGAACAGATGGCTGCTTTACTGTTTTGTGGTCCTTTGTTAATAGGAGAAAAGGAAAATGCCTGGAGTTCCAAATGGAAACATTTGCCACATAGAACTGGAACCACATGGGGGCCACAGTGGGCCAGAACTTCAGCGCACTGGGCGGTAGGTTCTTAGTCTTTTCACAGCTGGTGTTGCTTTCTGGGCAGAAGTTGTATAAAGGAATGAGGGATCCTCTTGCGTTAGCCTTCTTTGTGGTGTTTTTATGGTGTGGACATGACTTCAAATAGAACTGACTATAACTGTTCTAAGTATATAAGATATTGTATTCATTCATTCAGGTTTCTCAAACAACCTACCGTGTTTCATCTCACCTCCAGTCCTTCCCATATTTGTTCCCTCAGATTTGAACACTATCTGCCTTCCTCATCTCCTGTCTAATCCCTACTTATCCTTCGTCTCAGCTTAGGTGCCATTTCCTTTCAGCTCCTTCCAAGACTCTATATAGATGAGGTTAGGTGTTCTTGGTATGTGATGTCACAACATCGAGTTACCCCTATTACAGCCCTTATCACACTTTATGATTATTGCTTGATTCTTTCCTACTAGACTGCTTCATATGGGAAGGGACCCCATCTGTCTCATTCACCATTATATTCCCAGCATCTGGAGTAGGTACTCAATTAATATCTGATGAATGAATGAATACTTTTAGTGTGATGCCTGTTTTGTAGCATGGAATGGACAAATGATAAGTAATCATTCTGGGTTAAGAAACTTCTTTAGAGTAGGAAGATAAGTACTATCTTAGAAGTGAGTGCGTCTCAGAATAGGAAATACACTCTTCTAGGGTAAGATTTTAAAGACAAATGTCCAAGATTTTAAAGATAGAGGTAATAGGTAACAGAAGCAGGTCCCCAGACTAGGAGGTTTTATTCCCAGGTAGAAGAGTGGTAAAAGAGGATGATATTGTCAATTGGTTGGCATCCAGATGTGTCTCCAGATCCTGGGAAAAGGTTGAGAGTATGGTTCTGGCTAATTGTGCTTGTGTCTGAGAAGGATATTCTGGGTGGAGATTCTCAGGACAGGACTCAGTCTGGAGAGCAACATAATGTCCTCCACTCCCTTGCTTTATTATTCCTTATTTACCCTCTATTGTTCCTTATTCTTTTATCCTCAGTACTTCACTCAAGAGAAATGCAGGGTTTTTTTTTCCCCCACTGTGGAAAGTGTCCTTTCTTCCCCCTGACTCTTAGAAATTCAGGGAGAAGCCAGGAGAGGATATAGAGTAGCAAGAGAGAATGCAACTTAACTAGCAGAGTCCTGCTGTGCACAGCTGTATTCTGGTTGAAGGACTGTACTTGAGTGTTGGAAAAGATATGTAGGTCCTGGAGAGAGGAAAGCAGGAACTCCTGGTAGGAGAAGGGTCACTGAAGAGAAGGTCACTGAAGAGAAGGAACAACTCCAAGAGTGAGTTCAACATTTTCTTTGAAGCTGGGAGAGGTCTGAACGAGGTGGTGGTTGTTGTTATGTGCCATCATAGCGACCCCTCCTTGGGTTTCCAAGGCAGTATCACTGCAGAAGTAGATTGCCCAACCTTTGGAGGAGTGGCTGCAGCCTTCTGGTTACCAGTCTAGTGCCTTAGGCACTACGCTACCAGAGCTCCCCTAGGTGGAGAGGCCTGGTATTGGGAGACAGTTCCAGGGAAGCACTTCTCTTTAGAATAGGTTGCAGGGTAGAGGAGATTGTGATTTTTTGGGAAGACTATTGAGTATGGATTTAATAGTATTTTTTAATGAACTCAAAAACTCACTGCCGTAGAGTTGAATGTGACTTATAGCAACCCCTCCTTGGGTTTCTGAGGCTGTATCACTACGGAAGTATATTGCCTAATCTTCCTTCCAAGGAGCGGCTGGTGGATTTGAACTGCCAGCCCTCTGGTTAGTAGTCAAATGCCTTAGGTGCTACGCCACCAGAACTCCTTTTTTTGTTGTTGTTAGGATTTATCTTTTGGGTATAAAGGGTGTTCACACCCCAGGACTTAGAGTTTGAAAGTTGTGGAGTTGAGGGCAAAAGAATTTCCCTCAAACATATCCATACAGAGGTGAGATTTCAGATTTATTTTGGTGCCAAAGAGAGAATATATTAGAGTAGATAAGGGAAGCAAGTCCCCAGACTAGGTGGTTTTATGAGTAGATCACTTATAATCAATTCTACGTAGGGTGTAGGAGACCATTGGACTGGATCCCAATAGTTCTCAAAACCAAACTCACTGCCATGGAGTTGATTCCGACTCATAGTGACCCCTTTTGGGTTTCCGAAGTAGTAAATCTTTACGGAAGTAGATTGTCCAGTCTTCCTTCTATGGAGTACCTGGTGGCTTTGAATCACCAATCTTCTGGTTAGCAGTCAAATGCCTTAGGCACTACACCACCAGAGCTCCTTCCCAATAGTTCTAGAATCTCAGAAATGGTTACTGAAGTCCCTAAAGAAATCTCTTATATCATGACCATCACATGCCTAATCACAAACCCTAAGTACCTTTATTTGCAATTCAAATGGACTTTGAGGACTCTTTCTCATAATGTATCAGGAACTTTGGCAATTGGCAGAGCTGAAAGGAAAGATTATCTGGGGCCAGAGTCTAGTTCTGCTCAGTGTGGGAGATACTTTGAGCTCCTAAATTTTTTTCAGAGCCCTTAGTAAAGGACCTTAAGAGACATGGCTTCCCTCCCAATATAGTTTTTTAGGTCTGATGGCCTAATATCTGCATCAGGTATCATATTTCCATGCCAACTGTGGTTCCTTTCTCAACTTCAAAATATGTGAGGTGTCATTGTAAACCTTCCCATAAGTGGACATCCTAGAAGTTTCTGGGTCTTCCTGGACCGCACAGACAAAAACTACATTAGCCTGGGTTTTATAATTCTTCAAACCATTAGTTGCATTTCTTGGAGGTGGAAAACCTGCTTTATGCATATCATGTTGCCCAACAGTGGAACAAAACTTAGAAACTTGGGAGGTGTTTCCTTATTGGATAGAGAGGCATTCAGAGATGAAGTAGAGTAGATTCTAGGAAGGTGAGAAAGGAGACAAAGTTGAAAACAGTACTCTGAGTTCTGTATTATCTGACCGTCTAAGTCAGGGCTAGGACAAAAGGGGGTTTTCTAGGTTAGATTTGTGTCCCTTATTGGTGATGCTACTTTTTAGGAAGGATTAATGATAAAAAGAATAAGGAGCTATTATCTCGATGATCCCCCACACTTTAAACAGGTGTCTTCCAAAGCACACCAGACAAATGGATGGCTATCCTGTCCCTAAAGCCTTCCAGAGAAGGGTGCCCTAAATCAGTGCTCAAGAGCCTAGTGACCCTCTACATTGGTAAGTCCTTTCTTGCATCAAGTGTAAATTTTTATCCCTGTGTGCCTCCTGCCCCCCCAAATTTTAACAGAGGGCAGTGTTGAAAGGCAAAGGAAATCTCAAATATGAAAAAAAACCAAAAAAAACCCTGCCTGATTAATATCTGTGGTAGACATGTGATTATGACTTGATTTTATGCATGAATGAGGTGTGAGGCTGACTCCATAAACAGTATTCAGAAATTATTTTATTAATTTATATTGTATCATTGAAATAAGCCTCAGATCTTTATTCCTTCCCTTTAATCAGACAGATGTCCTCTTTTCTATGGCTTCTCCTAAATCACTTTCATAGAAATATTTTGCTCACACATACTTCTCTCAGAAGGTGTCTTGTACATCCAGAGGCTGACCAATCATTCCAGCATCTTCAGTTACCTCAGGGGCATAGAGTGAGGTGTGAACTCATTATTGCAGAAAGAGATTCTTTGCCCAGAATAAAGCCCTTTAGAGAAAGGCTATTGGTGGATACAAGGTGATATTAACATGATAATAAGATGGTATGTTGACTAAGAACCCAGAAACACTTGAATCTTGCCCTAGACTAATCTCTGCAGCCTGCAAGGCCCTTTATGGAATATTTACTCAGAGGACAAAGAAAAACAAAGTGATACTTTATTACTAACTGGAGCCTTGACTCCAAACCCTGAGGCAGAACTCAGGCAGATCTGGGATAGCTGTGGATAGCTCCTTTTTCTAAACTGGGATTGCCAGATGGAGTAAAACTAAAGCAGGCCAGTGGCTGGCTTTGTTTCTCTTCCCTAAATCAGATTGTGGTTGTTACCGCTTTAAACTGACGAAAAGTGAATCCCAATTACACCCATCAACACCAGAGGAAAAGTGAGTAATAAAGACCACTGTCTGCCCTGTATCCACCTGCATACCCGTTGTACCCTGCTAGATAAGGGAGAGCATTTGAATGGAGGAAAGCTGGCTGGTTCTTCTCTCCTGAGTTAACAGGTCCCAGACCTCATAGGTACCTCCAGGTTCCTTGTTGTTGTTGTTTTTGTTGTTGTTATATGCCGTCGAGTCGGACCTGACTCATAGCAACCCCTCTTTGGGTTTCCGAGGCAGTATCACTAGTTGGGCAATCTACTTCCGTAGTGATACTCCCTTGGCAAGCCAAGGAGGGGTCACTATGAGTCGGGTCTGACTCGACGGCACATAACAACAACATCACTACAGGAGTAGATTGCCCAACCTTCCTTCCGAGGAGTGGCTAGTGGGTTTGAACCACCAGTCTTCTGGTTAGCAGTCAAATGCCTTAGGTGCTATGCTACCAGAGCTCCTTCCAGGCTCCTAAGCAAAGAGAAATAACTGGCTGTGCCTTTTTCTATGGAAGTAGTTTTCTTTTCTTTTCTTTCATTCATTCTTTTTAGCTTTTTATCATAGAAAATTTCAAATATTAAAACAAGAGAATAGTATAATAAACTTCCCTGCTCTCATCAAGTTATTAGTATTTTGCCAATCTTGTTTCATTTATTTTATTTTTATGTTTCCTAGATTATTTTTAAACCAATCACTGCCATCGTGTCATTTTACCTGTAAATACTTGAGTATGTATCTCTATTTGATAAGACCATTTTAAAAAACAGCTATCATGCAATTAACAAATGTTAACAAAATTAGCAATAATTCTTTAAATCATCAAATGCTCAGTCCATATTAAGCTCTTCATGGTTGTCTTAGTAACATCTTTTTGGAGTTCATTTGTTCAACATAGGATCCAGTCAAGGTTTGCATTTGGTTATTTCCCTGTCTTAGTTCTCAACAGTGCTGCTATAACAGAAATACCACAAATGGATGGCTTTAACAAACAGAAAATTATTCTCTCACAGTTTATGAGGCTAGAAGTCCAAATTCAGGGCATCAACTCTAGGTAAAGGCTCTCCCTGTTGGTTCTGGGGTAAGGTCCTTGTCTCCTTTCAATATCTGTGGGCCCGGCATTCCTTGGAGATCTCCATCTATCTCGGCATCAATCATCTCCCGAGTCTAGGAGGTTCTTAGTACAGAGACCCCAGGTCCAAAGGACATGCTCCACTCTCAGCTCTTCTTTCTTGGTGGTACTGAGATCCCTCATTCTCTGCTTGCTTCTCTCTCCTTTAATCTCTTGTAAAATAAATGGTGATGGAGGTCACACCCCAGGGAAACTCACCTTAGATCAGTTGTAATCCCTTTACAACAGATTGGCTGATCATATCAGATCACATCATGGGGGATGTTTATATTGTCACATAACTGCCAAACCATTGAGAATCATGATTCAGTCAAGTTGACACATATTTTGTGGGACACAATCCAATCCATGACAGTCCCCATTCTGTAACTGCCCTCCCTTCTTTTTCTCCCAGCCATTGATTTGTAGAAGAGACCAGATCATTTGTCCCGTTGAATGCTGAGTTGCTCTTTCTTCACTCTGACCTCACCTGAAAACTTTTACTCTGGTAACGTTATTTCACTCTTAGCAAAAGTGACCCAATTTGGGAGGACTACTCCTTCTCTTTGGTGTGGGATATCTTGCTCTAGATCTCTGTCATCCTTGGGAAATAGAGAGGAGTCCAAAGTCCTGCCATCAAGTTCTGTTGATCTACCTCCTGAATAGCACTTGAATCCATTCACTCATTTGTCATCCCCAATCCACTGCCTTCTGTCTTGCCCCATGCTCCATTCATCATGCTGCCACCAGAGCGGTCCTTCCAGAATACGTGGTCAATTATGTCTCTCCCATGTTTACAATCTCTCAATGACTTGACATGCTGTTGTTGTTGTTGTTGTTATTTGCCGTCGAGTCGGCCCCGACTCATAGCGACCCCTCCTTGGGTTTCCGAGGCAGTATCGCTACGGAAGTAGGATTGCCCAACCTTCCTACTAGAATAAAATAAAAGAATTCCTTACAACAGCTCACAAGGCCCTTCATGACTCAGCTTCTCCAGCTTTGTCTATTGATATTTTCCCCTCACACAATAATATCCAACCATATTAATCTTCTTTTAGCACCTTGAACCTGCCATGCACTCTCACCTCTAGGGGTCACCTATGCTAGCTAACTCTGCCTCATCTAGCTAACTCCTGATACATCCTCAAGACTCTGCTGAAATGCCCCTCTGTTACTGTAGCACCCTCACAACACTGCCTGCCTCTTGCACTAGACTGTTGGTCCTGGAGAACAAGGGCTGTGTCTGTCTTGTTCACTGCTGCATCTCCAATACTTGGCACATTGCCTGGCATGAAGTACCTGCTAATAATACTTGTCAACTGCATGAATGAGTTACTATGCTAATTTCTTAAGAGTAAGGTAGGAAAGTGCATGTCATAGGGCTTTTTATTTCTGAAACATATAATAAAACTAACAATTTTAATACCTTGGATTGGATTTGCGTATGTTCTCCTAACAGTTGAGAATTTGAAATTTGAAGCTAATACTTACTTTCATGTTAATTTTTTTGAACTTTTTACTAAATGGGTAAAATGTATACCCAAATTAATTTTTTTTTATGCTTAGGATAATCATTCAAATTTACTGTAAGTCATGTTCTTGGTTGCAAATATAATTTGTATTGAGTGCAGAGACATCTCCTGTACTTGGGGCCAAATTAAAGCCAAAGTGTTAACTCAGTACAGAGCACATTTTCAAATATGTGTTGTTCATATGCGTTTGTGGAAGAGGGACAGCGTTAGAGGCCTGTCTGCCGTGTCTCCGCAGGCTTTTTGGGGGCTTGGTGCTGGACATCAAGCGGAAGGCCCCCTGGTACTGGAGCGACTACCGGGATGCACTCAGCTTGCAGTGTTTGGCCTCCTTTCTGTTCCTGTACTGTGCCTGCATGTCACCTGTCATCACCTTTGGGGGATTGCTCGGAGAAGCCACTGAGGGACGCATTGTAAGAGATTTTAACCACTTCTAATGATTCCACACAAGACTTAAAATATTGTGGTGGCAGCCAAGCCCACTGAAGGAAAAATTCCCAGTGCTAGGACTAAGGAGATTGGATTCTTTCTACTGAATTACCATAGTCTTTCAACTTCTTATCAATCAGCAACATAGTTCTCCCTGTAGAACAGACTCTCTTCTGCTTGAATATCAATTTCAGTAGCTGATTGTACAGTAGAATTTCCTGTTACCCCAAGGATTAAAAATGGATATATTGATGTTATTTGAAAATACAATTTAAAGTGACTCTGTATGACAGCTTATAATGTGAGGAGTATCATTGTGGTTTTTGTATATTTTTGAATTGAGTAAAAAATATACTGAATTGAGTCAGTGCAGAACAGAACTTAGTTGAGGAATCATATGTGGATGGATTTGGGCATCTGAATTATTAAAGTGGTATCTGTTTACAGGAGTATTAGATGGTGTGTACACATCACTCTTGCTAAGATGAAATACTAGCAAATGATCAAGACACACATGAAAGCTAAGTCAGGAATGTACATAAACCAATATTACTCTTTACTGATGGACTAAGGACTCAGTGATTTTTTTTTTTTTTTTTTTTAAACTTTTCAGAGTGCAATTGAATCCTTGTTTGGAGCCTCCATGACTGGGATTGCCTATTCCTTGTTTGCAGGACAAGCTCTCACCATCTTGGGAAGCACTGGGCCAGTGCTTGTGTTTGAAAAGATTTTGTTCAAATTCTGCAAGTAAGATACATTTGTTTTTCTGAAAACTCTTAAGTGGATATGGTTAATGTGCTGCCAGGGTTGAATGCCAAGATCCCCAATGAGTATAAACAGGCAAAAATCACTCTAGATTGTGAAAAACCTGAAGGAAGAATGTCATTGGGACTCTTATCCAGCCTCCAGATAGCCCATACCTGAAAGCAGATCTCCTATGCTTAAAGACTTTGTAAATATCCCTCAGCTATTATTGAAGTCTTAAAAATATTTTATATTTAAAAGACTTTCCTTAGCTAACTCAAACTCTTTCATGTTCATTTCAAGTCCATTTTAATTTGGCCTAATATCTCCCGCAAGGAGCTCTGGTGGCATGGTACCTAAGGCACTTGACCGTTAATCAGAAGATTGGTGGTTCAAATCCACCAGCCACTCCACAGAAGGAAGATTGGGCAATCTTCTTCTGTAAAGATTTACTGCCTCAGAAACCCAAAGGGGGTCTCTGTGAGTCAGTATCGACTCGATGGCAGTGAGTTTGTTTTTTTTTAAACTCTCCCCACCCATCTTCTAGTTGAACACAGTGGTAGGGACTCAGCAATATCTTAATTTTTTGTAAGATCTTATACTCATTTTCTATTAGAAATAGGAGCACGTGGAAGAAAGACCAGATCTCTTTATTAATGCAAGAATAAGATCTTAATTAGGCAGTAATAGTGGAAATGTTATATATGGGAACATTTCTTCCTTCTATGCTTTCCATGTCTTTGCTAAGGCAAATGCCACCAACAAAGTAAATCTTTGTCACAGCTGCCCCAGGGCAGCACTTAGGAGTGAAATGCAGTCAGAATTAGTGATAAACTGGGGTGTAATGCTGGTATGGATAATATGAGATGAAGTAACACATTTTTGACCTTTTGTCTCTTAATCCCATCTATCTATACTTTTTGATGAACTTTGGTTTTGTTTCAGAGACTACGCTCTTTCATACCTCTCCCTGCGAGCTTGTATTGGACTATGGACCGCTTTCCTGTGTATTGTCCTTGTAGCAACTGATGCAAGTTCCCTTGTCTGCTACATTACCCGCTTCACTGAAGAAGCATTTGCCTCCCTGATTTGCATTATTTTCATCTATGAAGCAATAGAAAAGCTAATTCACCTGGCAGAGACCTACCCCATCCACATGCACAGCCAGCTGGACCATCTTAGCCTCTATTAGTAAGTGTGCTTTATGTTTCTCTCTCTCTCTCTCTTTTTTAAATAAGCAAAGGATCTGAGTTTAATGGTCAATATAGTGTTCCAGGCAGTGCTTATAGCCTCTGTTGAGGATTTTGACTCTCTGAGAAATAGAGCTCAGATATGGATGAGGAGACTTGGAAGTCTGGCAGAGGAGAATAATCAAAAATGATGAGGAGGAACATAAACTAAAACCTAGACTAGTGAAACCTAGAGGGGACTCAAGAAATGCTTTCCAGAGCATGTCTTAGTTCCAGGAATTAAAACAAAAATAGGCTCCAGATGTAACAGGGAGAAATTGAGTTAGTTTTTGGGAAGAACTTCTCTGTTGCAAGTACTTGTAAGACCCTGGACCATGTTCTCATGTAAGCGAGAAGATTCTTTTTCTGTAAGTGTGTACTATATAGGCAATTTTTAGGAATCATTAGGTAAAGTTATATTGATAATTCTTTGCAGATCCATGGGTCTCGTACTCTATCATGAAAGTCTAGAAACTTATATACTTATCTACATTTCAATTCAAGAGATTGTGTTTTTTTCATGTGTTCAGCATAGTTTGGAACAGCTGAAAAGGATCAGCTATGTTTTTAACCTTCTAGAAGAGTCTGGTGCTATAAATCATTTCTCCTCTAGAGCAGTATTCTCCAAGTTATGACTAAAAGTCCTCTTCCCTCAGCTCTGCACATCAAGTTCCCTCCCTTATGGTTGTACAGTTCTGATGTGGAGGATATGGGTGGAAAATGAGTAATTTCAATCTGAAATGCCTAAAAAGAGAGGACACATGCCCTGAAGGCATCTGTCAGTCACAAATATACTGTTATCTGTTCTAGTTATTCATTCATTAATCTTTTTAAAATCAGAATTTATAGAAAAATTACTAGAATTTAAAAAATTATTTTACTCCAAAAGAAAAACCATTAAGGAGCATAATCTTCAAAGCCTAGTGCATTGCTAATCAACATTGGAGTCCTGATTCCTATAAAGTTAATTCTTTGATTTCTTTTCATCATTCATTTAACAAATAGTTACTATGTGCCAAACACTGTATTAGATTCTGGAAACATAGCGGTGAGCATGACAGACAACGAATCTACCCTTTGAGACTTATATTTTAGTGGAAGAAAGGAGATAGAAGTGACTAACCCTGGATTGAATAGACTTTGGGTATGGATAAACTACTATAATTCTTTGTTAATAAATCTCAAAATGGTATTTCTCATAGTTACATTTCACGTTGGTTCATATGATGCTGGTTTAAGCAAGATCCCCCATCATAATAAACATAAACATAAATGATTTTATTTTAATATATGTGGAATTGATTCCTTAAATCTGAAATGTAGGACTTTAAAGCTTTTCCTATTACTTTTACTTTTGTTGGTTTTCTCCAATTTTCTAACTTGTTGAGAACTTTTTGAATTTTAATATTGTTGTCCTACTAAGAACATATGAGGTAAATCTTTACAGAGGTGAAGATTGCCCAGTCTTCTGTCTGCAGAGTGGCTCGTAGGTTTGAACTGCCAACCTTCTGGTTAGCAGTCAGATGCCTTAGGCACTATGCCACCACAGCTCCCATTAAATTCATAGATGAAACAAAGTTGGCAGGGATGGCTGTGTCATTTGATCAGTTCAAACTAGGATTAGGAGGCAACATGGTGGTCAGTGGGACTAAAGGAGCAAGTGTGGTCAGGATGAGGAGTCCTAGAGAAGCTAACATAGCTATCAGGTCTGGGTCCAGCACAAGCAGGCAGGAAATGGCCAAGGTAGTGAGTTGAGGTATTGCAGCAGACAATGCCATGTCAAAAAGAGTTTGTCATAATTCCAGGAGACTCCAGTTTTCAGGGCAGAAACATGACAGAGGTTATAGCTCAAGACTCAAGCTATTGAGTCTTGGAGGAAGCTGTTGAGAACTGAGTTGAGGTCAGGTCCTCCTTGCTACGCTGATTGGTTTTCATGAGAAAGAGACTAAGCAAGGGGCCCAACTGGGGATCATTCTGGGCACGTCAGATGCCAAGCTTGGTTGTCAGCATAATTTAATCTTTTATCTTTAGTAATGACACTGAAAAAATTAGAATGTAGTAGGACCTATGGTGTAGTGCCTAAGGCACTTGACTGCTAACCAGAAGGCTGGCAGTTCAAACCCACCAGCCACTCCTCGGAATGCAGGTTGAACAATCTACTTCTGTAGTGATACTACCTCAGAAACCCAAAGGGGGGGTCGTTATGAGTCAGATCTGACTTGACAGCAGTGAGTTTGGTGGTTAGTTTTTTTTTTTTTTTTGAGGACCTATAGATGGACCTCAACCAATAGCAACAACCTCAGAGGTCTGAAGTGGGCAAAGGCAGGAGAAACAACTCAGGTTCTGACGGAGTCTTTAGCCCAGTCATGGACAAAATCATTTGATATTTGGTTACATTTTTCAGGAATGTTTCTTCTCTTCTCCTCAGTTGCAGGTGTACTATCCCTGAGAATCCAAACAATCACACTCTACAGTTCTGGAAGGACCATGATATCATGGCAACGCAAATCAACTGGGCTAACCTGACTGTTAGTGTAAGTTTGGGAGTTGCCAGATGCCCTAGCATGGTGACCATCAGTTTTAAGAAGAACTTCAAGGTGAAAGTGGGATAGTCCTTTAGCAAGCTCTGGTGTTTTCAG